CGAGGAGGTCGTCTTCCAGGCCGAGAAGGGCCCCTCCCGCGGCCCGGACCCCCTCGCCGGCGGCCGCCAGTGCATCCTGGAGACAGACGATGACGCCAGCGACGGCGGCGGGGAGCCCGGCAGCAGCGAGGGCCGCCGCCCGGGGTACGTGCGGCCCAGCATCGTGCCCCAGAAGCAGTGGGTCTTCGTCAAGAAGGAGCGCTCGCAGGAGGACCTGGTGCTCACCTGCGAGGAGGACGAGGACCCCGTGGAGGCGTCGGCGTCCGGCCCTCTCCCTGAGGCCGCCCTGAGCATCAGCGACGTGCGCACCCTGACCGACCCCGGCGGCGCCAAGCTAGAGGAGCAGGTGAACTTCTGCGAGTCCTCTGAGGACTTCTCTTCGCCCTACGAGGGCCTGGAGGAGGGCTCCCCCCTGCCCGGTGCCTTCCCGCAGCGGCCCCTCCTGCCCATGGACATGCAGGGCAACCAGATTGTGATCTTCCCCCCGCAGGCACCCGTGGAGCACGGGGCCGTGCAGCTGGCGGCTGGCTCCGGGGACGGCAACAAGATATTCATGTGCCACTGCGGGAAGGCCTTCTCGCACAAGAGCATGCGCGACCGGCACGTCAACATGCACCTCAACCTGCGTCCCTTCGACTGCCCCGTCTGCAACAAGAAGTTCAAAATGAAGCACCACCTGACGGAGCACATGAAGACCCACACAGGCCTTAAGCCCTACGAGTGCGACGTCTGCGCCAAGAAGTTCATGTGGCGCGACAGCTTCATGCGCCACAAGGGCCACTGTGAGAGGCGCCACCGCCTCGGTGGAGGTGGCAGCGGCAGCATCTCGGGCGCTTCTGCAGTCTCCGGGGTTGCCAAGAAGGAGGCATCGCCATCCCGGATCACTGGCGACGCTGAATGGTCCACTGGGAGGTCGCCACGCAGTGAACTGGGCTTCGCAGGGAGCAGCAAGATGTGAGGAGGGGGGCTGTGAAACTGATGCCCTCCCTGCGAGGAAGACCCTTCTGGCCCTCGGATGAGCCAAAGTCCTTCCCCTTCGCTGGCTGCCGTGGGCTGCCAGGCCCCTTTCCCTGGACAAGTCCTGCGACTCCCCTCTGGGACCTGCCCGAGCTGATTTCTGCAGGGGACACCTTGCAGAAGGTGGGGAGCCAGGAACAGCTTCATCCTCCCGGCTGCTTGGCCTGGCTGTCTTCCCATCATGCAATGGGCCCAAGCCTCGGCAGGGGTGTCATTAAGACCCTGGACAGGCCCAGAGCCAGGTGGGCAGAGCCCCAGGCCCTTCCTCTCTTGCAGCCCTAACCCTTGCCTAAAATCCTATTTCAGGGGAGAGGTGACTCGCTTGGGAAGAAGCCAACACTAAATGCCACCCTCTGACCCATTTGCAGAGGGAGGGTCCTGTTGATGTAGCAGCCTCCTCCTCTCCCCTCTCTGCGCATGTCTGTCTTGGGGGTGCAGACATTTTGGCAAGAGCCCCTGCTTTGCCCAGGGAGAGGTGTGGGGGGGAGATTTTTCATGGCGGGGGCAGTTCTGACCAGCTGGATGAGTCCAAGAGCTGGACGGTGACTGTGTCCGGAGAGAACCCCCTGCTTTGGGGGGAAATCACACCTCTGGACCTCCCTCCTGAAACAGCTGGGCTCTGCTCTCCTGCCCCAGCCAGGGGAAGAGCCCCCCCGGCATCCCCACGTGGGGAGCCAGGAAAAGCCCCTTCCTCCGCCCGTTTGTTCCTTCTGTTTAGATGAAAAATGTTGTCCTTCAATTTGGTTGGGGCCTTTTTTTTTTTTTTTTATGAAAGCGACAAATTCTCTATAAATATTTATTGCTGTTTATCGCCTGGTTTGGATCTTTGCTGGCACCATCCCTGGGGCCGTGGCTTGGGCCAAGGAGAGATGGGGAGCCCCCTCCCCTGCTGCAGGTGAGCTCTGTGGGGAGGAGGCCAGGCGGGCTCTCCTTGCCCCATGGTAGCAGTCAGCCCAGTGACGTTCTGCTTTAAATTTAGGCTGATCCAGGGAACTGCAGCTTAACTCCACTGATTCTGGTCCTCGTGCCCGTGGTCGTGAAGAGGCTTCCCTTTAGGGACCTGAACGCGCCCCCGTGTCGCCCTCCGTCTTCTTCTCCCCAAGCTTTCCCACCTGCAGCTCACAGGGCACCGCCTGCAGCTCCTGTATCGCTTGCCCCCCCTGCCCTGCCAGCATCGGCCTGGAAATTGGGGGGTCCCGCCAGCACAGAGCAGAAGGGCTTCCAGGTCTCTGGGTGACGCTTCCTGCAGATGCTCTCTTCCCCCCCCTTCCGGAGTGATCCCCTCAACACCTGCCCCAACTCTAATCCTGTCTCAGTTTCTAGCTCTCAATCGAGCCTCTTGCCCGTAAGGAAGGAGGGAAAGGGACAAGGGCGTGAAGGACAGGAAGGCTGGATTCAGGAAGAGGTCCATGTCCGAAACTAAAATGACAAAACCAGTGCTCAATGGAGAAAATCCTAAGCTAGGGGAAAATGTGGTAATGAAGTCTGGTTTAGGGCATGGCTTTTCCTTCAACCCTTTTGCCACGTCTGCCCTCGTCTTGCCTGGCAAAGAGGAAACTGGGAGAGCCCTCTGACTGGCATTTTATTCATGGCTCTGCTGGAGACAAACTCCGAGACCAAACAGGCTTGCTATTTAGGGAAGAGGCCCCACAGCTAGCACCAGTTTTGGAGGCCCAAAGATTGCCCCTGAGGGGCCACTCCAGCAGGGCCTACAACGGGGCCCCTGCGGATGCTCCCTGCCCCCTCGTCCTCAGCGGGCTCTTCCTCTGGGCCCACCTCACCCTTGCGGCTGTGCCGAATATTTGGGGGGAACCGGAGTGTTCATTTGGTGTGAAGGTGTAAATACAGATGGGGAGCCGATACTGAGGATTTTGTGGTAAAATCCAAGCTGTGACTCCTGTTTGGCCACGTCGGACATTTCGGCACAAGTGGAAACTTTCGAAGACAAACACACCAACCCAAGCCCACTCCCTGGCTGTGTCACCAGCACAAGAAATACACTTTGCGCACCCACCCCCTTCATTGGAAGAGCCTAGGCCAGACTCCCCCAAGGCTGAAAGGAAAGCTGTTCCAGCTGAGCTGTGACTGCCGGGCGGCCTCGGTGTCCTTTTCGGACAACAGGGCAGACGGGTTTGCCCCTGCTGCCTTCCGGAATGCTTGCTGACTTCCTAATACTGATCCCGGGATCCCCTGGTGGTCTCCCATCCAGCTTGTCTCCGGATCAGCTGCTACCTGCGGCCCCTGGGGATCACTGCGAGCATGAAATCGCCCTGCCCGGAGGAAAGTGGACTGGAACGCGCGCCGTCATGTTCCTTTCCGCGAGGCTACCGGGCACCGAGCGCTTCGTGGGAAGCCCGTCCCTCTCCTAACGCGCGGGGCGGGCGGGCGAGAGAGCTCGCGGGCTTCGTTGGGGCCGAGAGCGGAGCTGAGGCTCGGCTTGGCAGCCGCCGACCGTCAGCAGCAAAGCAAGGCGCTTCTGGGTGCTTCCTGCTGGAAAGAAGCCG